TGAGCCATCATGCCTAATCCATTCTTTTGCATCTTCAGTAGCCATTCATCTATCTGCTTTCAGAAATGTTTCCCATTATCAGAGGAGAAAGTGTCTGAGACCTTTCCTGGACTCTACACCTGTCCCTCAGGTCCCTATCATCTCCTTTACCTGTGTCTTTTTCTGGTCCTGGGGCTTGAACTCTGGGCCTGGGCGCTGTCCCTGAGCTCTTTTGCTCAAGGCTAGCGCTCTACCCCTTGAGCCACAGCGCCACTTCCGGTTTTCTGTGGTTCATGGAAGATTAGAGTCTCCCAGCCTTTCTTGCCTTTTCTAGCTTCCCACTGAGATCCTCAGATCTCAGCCTCCTGAGTAGCTAGGATGACAGGCGTGAGCCACCCGCGCCCAGCCTCTAAGCACCTTTGATCTGCATGGAGGCCCTGCCACCTCCTAAACATGACCTCCTCTTGCGAGCTTGAGCTCTGGGCGGGGTCCTAGCGCTGCTCTCAGCAGCCTCCTGTGAAAAGGTCTCACGGCTCCTGCCTCCGCCGCTGCGTCACCCTTGCTGGACTCGGGGTGTCAGTTCTGACGTCACTGTCCTGGGGAGGCCTTCCTGATTCCCCAGACCAGAACATGTCCCCGTGACCCTTCCAGTGACCCGCCCAGAGCAGCACCTTGTGTGCCTCCTGCAGGAGAAAATGCTGGACATCTACTGGCTGCTGCGTGTCTGCCTGCGGACCATCGAGCACGGGGACCGGACCGGCTCGCTCTTCGCTTTCATGCCCGAGTTCTACCTGAACGTGGCCATCAACAGCTACAGTGCCCTCAAGAATTACTTTGGCCCTGTACACAGCATGGAGGAGCTCCCAGGTGAGGGGAGCAGAAAACATTCCCCCCGCCAGAACCCTGATCCCCATACCCCAGAAGCACCAAGCAAGTCTTTGTCCCTGGTCTGGTGCCTGTAGCTACAGACAGAGCAGTTTTTCCCTGGGTCCTGGGAGGAGTGCAGATAGGTGTGGACGCCGACCCTCCCTTCTCTCGATTCTGCTGAGGAGCTGCCGTAGTCCCCGTGGGCTGCAGGCCTCTCGGCTTGAACTGAGATTCTCAAGTCTCAGCCTCCTGAGTAGCAAGGATGACAGGTGTGAGCCACGGGTGCTTGGCTGGCTTTGTCTTTAAAGACAGCTACGGGGACTGGGAGCTATGCTGGGTCATCCACCATGTACCAAGATGGGTGAGAGGCTGGGTCAAGGCTCTGGCTAGGACCTTCCTGCCCGCTTCTTCCCACAATGAATGTGAGCATTGATCGCTCTTCCTCAGCTGTTAGTGAATGCCTTGATTGATGTCCCTAAATACCAACATGAGTCCAGACTGGTCCCAGGAGCCAGTTCTAGGGCCACATACCCAAGCCCCCCTACCGTCCCTCCCCACTGCCAAGGGATGTGTTTATTCCCGGAGCTGTTCTCACTGTCCACCTTTGCAGGCTATGAAGAGACCCTGACACGGCTGGCAGCCATCCTGGCCAAGCACTTTGCCGACACGCGCATTGTGGGCACTGGTGAGGGCCCGAGGGGACAAGGACGGCCTGGCCTGTCTAGAAGATTGATTTCCATGCAAACGGACAGCCATGTGGTGTGAGGCGTGGGCTAAGTTCAGGCTGATTACCTGCTGAGACATAAGCTTCTCCCTGCAGATATCCGAGACTCGCTGATGCAGGCTCTGGCCAGCTACGTGTGCTACCCACACTCGCTGCGGGCTGTGGAGCGCATCCCTGAGGAGCAGTGAGTAGGGAAGGATCCAGCACGGGGGAGGCACCCCATCTTACAGAGCCCTGTCCCCAGACTCGCCCTGAGTCTGTCCCTGCCCTTTCCCGTCAGGCGCATCGCCATGGTGAGGAACCTCCTGGCTCCCTATGAGCAGCGGCCTTGGGCTCAGACCAACTGGATCCTGGTGCGGCTCTGGAGGGTAAGCCTGACCTAAGGTAGAGGTTGGGGCCAGTGCAGAAAGGGTGCCCCCCCCCAATCAACTCTCGCTTTCTCCACTCCCAGGGCTGTGGGTTTGGGTACCGCTACACCCGGCTGCCCCATCTGCTGAAAACCAAACCAGAAGATGCCAACTTGCCCAGCCTCCAGAGTGAGTATCGAAGTTGGTGACGTCTGAACCACCACCGGGCAGGACAGATTTGGGTGGCTCCATTTTCAGTTTTCTGGGAGTTAATTAGAGTCTCATGGACTTTGCTGCTCAGGCTAGCTTTGAACCGTGATCCTCAGATCTCAGCCTCCTGAATAGCTAGGGATTATAGGTGTGAGCCACTAGCACCCAGCTTCCACAATTTTAATCTTATCCCCAAGGTATCAGTGAAAAGAAGCTGGCTATTCATTTGGGGAGACAACTGTCTGTTGTCCTGTATACTTCCAGTCTTAGTTGAACAGTGTTTTGTTGTTTTTTTAATTGACTGGTGCCAGACTCAGGGCTTGGTTTTTAGGCCTGGGATCTTCGAGTCAAGACAGGTACTGGAAATTGTTCAAAGCCCTCAGAGGGCACTCCTAAGGCTTCCTGGAGTGGAGTACTGGGTTGCGAGCAGAGTACCTCTCCTCCTCCAGTCTTGTGAGTTTGAGGGCCTGTACCGGGCCCAAGGCTTGGCGATGTGCGTTTTGCAGAAACCCTGCTACACATGACTCAAGGCGCACAGAGTGCTTTGCCCTTGCTGGCAGTGTTTTGAGCTGCAGGATTGTCCCGGGAGAGGCTAAATGCCTTGTGCAATTCCCACAAGTCTTTGCCAAATGCTTCTGTCCTCTACCTCGAGGACAGAACTGAGCTGCAAGTGGAGAGGGGCACCGGGGCCAGATACCATCCTGTGGCTGCAGGAACTATTGATTTGCATCAGAGAGCTCTGGTTACCACCGCCCGCCAGCCCAGACTTGGCGCCCACCATCTAGGCCATATGCCAAGGGCAGCAGAGGACAGTAGAGGACAGCAGGGCTCAGACTACTCTCTTGAAGAAGCTGGTCTTGACGCTAGTGGAGAAGGGTCTAAGTCCTGGCTATGTCTGACCCTGTCTTTTGGGGTGTGGGGCCCAGAGCTTGCTGGGGGTCAGGCTGCAGCTGCGACACGGGGAGTGGGAAACGCCTCCCACCCTCTGGTTGCCTGGAGGAGGAAACAGATTTAGTTCTAACCCCTGGGCAGTGTGACACCCTGTTCTCCATGATTTGTATTTCCAGAGAGCCATCTATTTTATTTTTAGTTTTGGTGCTGGTTCCAGGGTTGAACTCAGGGCCAGGGAGCGCTCTCTGGGTTTCTTTTGCTCAAGGCTAGTGCTCTACCACTTGAGCCACGGCTCCACTTCCGGCTTTTTGGGTGGTTAGTTGGAGATAAGAGTCTCATGAACTTCCCTGCCTGGTCTGACTGAACTGCGATTCTCTGATCTCAGCCTCCTGAGTAGCTAGGATGGCGGGCGTGAGCTTGGCCATCTGTCTTTATACCCAATGGATGAAGACAGGTAAACAGGCCTGCTAATGCTGCTTCCCCCCCCCCCGCCCCCAGAGCCCTGCCCCTCTGTCCTGCTACAGCAACACATGGCAGATCTGCTGAGGCAGGGTCCTGACGTGGCCCCCAGCTTCCTCAACAGCGTCCTCAACCAGCTTAACTGGGCCTTCTCCGAGTTCATCGGCATGATCCAGGAGGTGGGCCACGGCGGGCCACGGCGGGGCTGGGATCCAAGCATAGAGCCCTGCAGGGCAGCTAGGCCTCTGACGCTTGCCTGTCTGCCCTGCTGGCTGCTCAGATCCAGCAGGCTGCCGAACGCCTGGAGCGGAACTTCGTGGACAGCCGGCAGCTCAAGGTCTGCGCCACCTGCTTTGACCTGTCGGTCAGCCTGCTGCGAGTCTTGGAAATGACCATCACACTGGTGCCTGAGATATTCCTCGATTGGGCCCAGCCTACCTCTGAGATGCTCCTGCGGCGTCTGGCACAGGTGTGTCCATCTGGGCAATGAGGGGGGAACCCCGGTGGGGGGAGGGGGAGGTGGGAGGGGCGAGGCTCCAGTGGTGAGCTCGCCCATCCACCAACAGGCTCCCGCCCTCACAGCTGCTGAACCAGGTGCTGAACCGAGTGACGGCAGAGAGGAACCTCTTTGACCGTGTGGTCACACTGCGGCTGCCCGGTAAGGATCTAACCGCTGTGTTCCCGCACACCACGCGCCATCGCTTCCCACTCCCAGCCTCAACCTGACCTACTGAAGGAAGGACAGTGGGAAGGGTGGATGGCATCAGCCCAGGAAGCCCCTGGCATGGAGCATGTGAACGGTGCAGCCTCCTTCCCTCCCCTTAGGCCTGGAGAGCGTGGACCACTATCCTATCCTGGTGGCAGTGACAGGCATTCTGGTGCGACTTCTGGTGCACGATTCAGCCTCGGAGTAAGTGCTGGCAGCTGCTGGCTCACAGGGGAGCTGGAGTTGCCTTTTGAGGGGGGACAGGGCAGGCCTGAGGTGCCTCGAGACTAGATCTCAGTAACTAGGAGGCGGCGGACCAGCGGTGGCCTGTGAACTGCCTAAATTAGCGCCAGAAGCAGCTGCGGAGTGGGAGAGTGTGTCTTAGCTTGTGAGGCTGTGTCTCTACTAAGGGATCGGGACGGGGTGCACTCACGCATGTGTGCATGCATGCATATGTGTGTGCGCGCGCGCGCGTGTGTGTGTGTGTGTGCTAGCCTGTCGTGGCCAGGGCAACACAGCTGGATCAAAAGCTGAGCACACAACGCTCCCTGTGTCTGTGAAGGCTCCAGTGATGCGCACGGACAGTCTTTATTGGGAAACACCATTAACAGCGTGGCCTGGGGTAACCATGGGGATCCCCAGCTCAGCCCTGACACCTGAGGGGCCCCTCAGTGGGGATGCTAAGATGCCTGTGGAGCCAGAACACCGCCTTAGCTATTAGGCTGAGACTAATGCCAGTCCTTCAGGGGCTCCTGTCCTCTGGGGACCTTGAGTGCCAGCTAAGGCTCTCTTCGTTTTCTACACTTGCCAGGCCGGAGAGCAGAGTCCCCCCGGTTCAGGCTAAGGCTGGATCCCCCAGGGGTCTCTTGGAAGTGTCCCTGACTCATGCTTGCCCACCAGCCTGAACGTGAAGCATTGTGCTTGCAGACTGCAGACGGGGCTCGTTCACTAGAGGGCGGGCTTGTTTTCTCCTTCCACCTGGGGAGGGTGTGGATTTTGAGCCCTCCTCCTTTTCTCCTACCCTCTGGGACATGGTTGGAGAAGGTAATGTGATTCCATTCCTTGACATCTGCTTCCGCCTGAAGATGGCGGTCCCGGGGCTCTTAGGAGAAATGCTTATTCCCCAGCCCTCACCCCACACCTAAGCCCGAGGAGGTCCTAAGAGAAAGCAGGCACTAGTGGGCCCTATGCTAAGCTGTGGGCCTTGAGGTCTCGTGCTAGGCAGAGCAGGAGGCAAGTTGGGGACCCCAACCCCATTACCAGTGGGTTGACTGAGGTTAAGGCCTATAATAAGGAGCAGGCTTGTAGGGCTTCGCCACCAGCACCTGGCAAGGCTCTGGACTAGGGAGGAAGGCAAGTAGCAGGAGGGCTATGGGCGGGGCCAGGGGGCCTCAGGCCGACTGAGTCATCATGAGACCCTCTGAGCCTGTGGAGCTGGCCGTCTCGGAGCCAGCCTTGAGGGGCAGGTCCACAGTGTTGCAGAGATCGAAGTCCTCGGCCACTGCCAGCTGCACACGCCCATTGAGGCCTCTCCGGCTGGGTTCCAGGAAGACCACATGTTTGTGGACACTGGCCTTCCGGCTGGGTGCGTCTGGCGGCGTGGTGCTGAGCATGGAGGACTGGGCGCTCAGCTCCTGGAGCGGGCTGGGTGTGCGCGGCCAGCGGCGGCGGCAGGCGTGGCAGCAGCGGCCGCAAGCCCTGCAGGGCGGCGCAAACAAGTAGAGGAGCACCAGCACCAGGCCCACAGCACAGCCGAGCAGGGTGGTGAAGCCGGTGTTGAAAGCCTCGGGCTCGGGGCGGGGGAAGTGCACGCTCACGTTGTACTCCAGCGTCTGGTTGTGGTGCAGGTGGGGCCCGCTGGCCAGGCACACGAAGACCCCCGCGTGCCGCTGCTGTACTTTGGCGATGGCTAAGCTGCCGTCGGCCAGCACCACGATGCTGCCATCGCGAGATCCCGGAGCCACGAGCAGCTCATTCTGGGGCGACACCCAGGCAATGCGCACGGCCGGGGCGCTGGTGTTGCAGTAAAGCCTCAGGGGCCGACCCACCTGCGTGTCCAGCTGCTCTTCCGGCTGCTCCAGGTTGGGAACCGAGGCCGCCGAGCAGTTCTCGAAGACGCGGCTGTGCTCAAAGAAGCGCACTTGGGAGCCGGGCACGGGGAAGGCCAGGCAGGTGTACTGGCGGGCAAAGTCGCGCACGGCGCCCAGGCCGCGCTGGCGCCAGCGCCGCAGCAGGTGGTAGAGGCGGCAGTCGCAGGGCAGCGGGTTGTCGTGCAGGTAGAGGCCGTTCTTGAGGAAGGTGGGCAGGGCCGCCAGCTCGCGCACCGAGAGCGGCCCCAGCTGGTTGGAGGACAGGTCCAGCGTGCGCAGGTGCGCGGGGCCCAGGCCGTGCAGGTGATCGAAGGAAAAGGAGGCGAGCTCGTTGGAGCCCAGGTACAGGTGGCGCAGCGCGGGCAGGCCGTGGAAGCTGCGCGCGTCCAGGTGCACCAGGCAGTTGTTGAAGAGCAGCAGCCGCTCCAGCGCCCCGAGCCCGTCCAGGTCGTGGCGCCCCAGCGCGCGCAGCGCGTTGGAGGACAGGTCCAGCAGCGTCAGGCTGCTGGCGTTGGCGAAGACGTGGCGCCCCAGGGCGTCCAGCCGGTTGTGGCCCAGGCGCAGCGCGCGCAGCC